AGAAGGGCACAAACTAACGCTTCAAGGACAATGGAAAGAAATATAAACAGCAATGTGTCTAAAACACAGAAGGGGCTGGTAATAGCAAAGGGCAAATTAATTATTCAAACTGATTAGCAAATGGATTTAAATGTGCAGAGGCAACCTGGTCTGTTGTAAGAAACAGCTGGCTGTGAGCCAATGGTTCATCTCCAGCCTGTCACTTACTTGCTAAGAGATGTTCAGCAAGTTACTTACTTTCCTTGTGTCTCAACTTTATTATTAGTAAATGAGGAACTGTCTCAGAGGCGTTGTTTGGTTAATGGCACAAAGAGCTGTAAAGATAAGCACTGCAACCTAGGTGCTGAATAACAAGTTCAACCTGACCTGAAAACATCCCCAAGACAGACAGACACATGATCGAGACCCAGTCTACAAGAGGTCAAGTAGATTGTAAGATGGAAGATATTATCTCCAATTGGAGCAAAAGGAAGCAAGGAGTCCATGCCTTGCCAACTCAGTTTCTGACTTGAGCATTTTACTGTTTCACTTGCAACTGTCTAAGGCTGAAGTGCAAGGAAGGAAAATGCTTTCACTGGCCTCTATGCTTCTACTAACCGCAGAAGGAAGAGCTGCCTGAGATTGCTCTGCATCTGAAGCCAGCTTTAAATTTACTTTTCTTTCTAGCTGTCAGCATGCACTATCTCAGAGCCAAGGGCAGCTGGAGCCAACTCTGACATTTAGAAAATTATAATATATTTCAGCTGGTTTCGATCACATATACCCTGTAGGGAAGTCCAACTCTCTGTCCTGTAGTTCTGCTGCTGTGCTGTCAGGGAACAGCTGGGCCAGATTTATTGCAGTCACAGCTGTACATTTCTCTTTGCTTCGAGTAAGTTTCAGCCCAACAACCTAGAGCCATGCACCTGCTATGTGAGGCTTGTCACTGTAACATTGCGCCTTGCAACACCAATAGTGTCTCTGCAAAACATTAAATAAAAATAAGCAAAACCCATCATTTAGCCATACAGGAATCAATTAGATCTTTAGCTTCAGTGTTTACAATTGGGAACTGAGAACCCAAATATCTGGCTTCAGTTCCCTGCTCTTCTAACTCACTATATGACTGGGCTAGTCACTTAATTTCTCTACTATGCCTTAGTCAATCCATCTGTGCGTAGCCTAATAAAGTCCACAAAATGTTGATGAGAGCACTGGATGAACAGCTATCATGCCTATAAGATGTTATGATAAAACTTGTGTACAGTTTTCAAGGTGGACATAACCTGGAAATCTCTCCTAATTGCTGTGTCTCTTCTTTCTCTAGGTAAACAGATGAGGGTGACAGTTGTTTTCAGTCTTCCCTTAATTTTCCAGGTAAGAAATTAAGACCAACAAAAAAACTCCAAAAAACAAAAAAACCCAAAAAAACAGTTGCTAGAAGCAGGGGGCTCTAGGCAAGTAGGACAGACAGAAGCAGCAGCAAAAAGCTGGACAGGGCAGAAAGGGATTCTAGCAGAAATCACTTGCATGTTAAAATCCTGAAGGGTGTTGATAAGTCTGCACAGAGGACAGGGTATGCAGAACAATGCCAATTAAGGGGCCAGAAACAGGAACACTTGGGGAAAAGATTTAAAAAAACAAAGTGTGAATGAAAAGTGACTGCTGGGGCTGGAATTTCAAGGTTTCTATAGTTGAAGCCAAGGTCTTATTTCAGCATCTAAATTCATGGCTAGGTTTTCAGAAGAGCCCAGAGTACTGAGGGCTAAGTGAGTTTGGAAATCTGGCTCCTGGATATTGGAAAAGTCCTAACACCCTGATCCTCCAACCTTTGTTCAGCTGAAGACATAGGAGGGGACACATCACAGAGGGAAGAAAAAGTGTTCTTTTGCAGCCCTGAGATAAAAGTTCATTTACTCCTCACACTTACACACAAACAGAGTAAAACTTAGCACAGGAAAAAAGCAAATGTGGAAAGACCAGGGGGCCCCGTTCTGATCTGCTCCAGAAGCACGTGCCTTGAGTAATCTGCTATGTGACTGCTTCTCACCTTCCTGCTATTCAGGAAATGGATCCTCCTCCCCCAGCAGTATCAGTGTCAGCTTCTGCAAGGGGCTCAGAAAAGTTAGAAGGGTACTGTCATGTTCCTTCACCCTTTCAACCTCTGGTGTCAGTGACTTCTGCATAGGCAGGATGTGGGTAAAAGTTAAATTTGCTTGAGATGGAGGAGAGCATGTGAAGAAGATAAGCAACCAGATGCTGCTCCAGGAGAGCCTTTCATCTTTGTGCAGAGAAGAGGACAGGAGAGACTAACAGGATACAGAAAAGCAGGACACAGACACTACAGCTTGCTTGTCCCTTTAGGCCCACTAAAGTATGGTAAATTGACATAGAAGATTAATCTATGCTGAAACCATGGAGCAGGGGCTCTGTTCTTTTTAAATCAGCATGACAATACCTCCCTGCATTGGTTGATGGATTTTATAAGAGTTTCATAGGCATCATCTATTACTGTATTACAGAAAGTCCTAGACAGGAAGGCCAGAGCAAGGTCTTCTCACAGGGACCCATGTGTACCCCCCACCAAAATTAAGCAGCAAAAATTGTGCAAATTAAAGGCATACCCTTAACAAGTAACAGGAAGGAAGCAGGAGAGTCAGAAAATATCCATGGACAAGAAAAACTTGCTTGCCTACTCATAATTTTGTCACTGGCCTCCTGCTATTTGGTGCTCCTCTTAAAGCCCCAGATCCAGGAGACAAGCAATATAAGAATTTAAGCTTCTTAAAGACAGTGTAGTCCCGTGGTTGCCTAGAAAAATTCCGAAGGTAGGACCCTTAAATCTCAAAAGAAAAATGGAAGTCAGATAAGAGTCGGCTCAAATTTATTACTATTTTTAGCAATTATTAATTTTTTTAGCCAATCTTTTGACTGCGAAGAGGCCTGACTCATAGCTGAGCACTTGTGATTGGCAATACTGTTTTGAGTATACTCCATCTTAATTAAGAGGCTATGGGAAAAGCATAGATCAGGGTCACTGCACCTCCTGAACACACTAGAAGTATCTACTTAAGAGCAGCATTTGCTGCCGTTAAGAACCAAATCAGCATTTCTGTAACACATTCTGAAGACAGACGTGGTAATCTGTGGTGGTCTGAAATAATCAGGCAGAAGGTAGGGCAGGGTGGCATCTTGGAGACAGCCGTTTCAGACTTTTTGTAGGCACCAGATTACTTCAGATGACATTCGAGGAGAAACCAGAGTTTCCAATATTCCTAACTATATAGGTTTACAGCAGTAATTTTAATATTCAGGCCAGGTGTAAGAATAGCAAATCTAGTTTGAAGGACACATGCATAGATTAAACAAAAGCGAAACAAAAATGCATAGCAGTGCTTTCATGCAGCTCACCCCATGGCTTAAAAGAATAGAGAGCAATCCTGCCAAAATAACCTTTTAGACAGGAACTCAAAATAGCATGTCCAGCAGCATTCCCTCTAATCTGCATAGTGTGCACGGCCACACAGGCGCGCTCACGCCACACTGCCAGGCATGCCTGTGCGGTCATGCACACCACACAGCTTAGAGGAAACGCTGGTGCCCAGTGGTCTCTTTTTCAAGGCCAGCTTTACCCAGGCTGTCCACACTAATATTGTTCTGCAAGTCTTATTACAAATTCAGTCTTTGCCAACAGAACTGCTGCTCATGAAGACAGAAAAAGCAGTCTTGCCATGATTAACTGACAAGTTTCAAGATCAAAAGAAGTGAGGATGAGATGCAAATATACAACTGACTCAGGCCTCTTGGCTTTCAAATGTTGAGCTGGAAACATCATGTGGACCTCCTCACTCTTGTGACAGTTGCGTTTGTCTTTTGTGTCACAGAAGTGACAGTGTGTCAGCCTTTGAACCTCTGACATGAAGGACTAGTTCAGAATTGGCCTTCTGAGAATGGCTCAGGTCAATCCTTAATTTTAACTGATAAGGTTCTCTATGGGGAAGTTCCTGAAAAACTCACATGACATTAGGAGTAGTGGTGGTTCAATTTTCTAGCCAAATTCGCTTAGTTATTGCATTCTGTATATAGGGTCTAGTTCTTACAAAAATTCATTTTATAGTTTGCTAGATGATTCAGAGAATAGCTCCTCCATTCTTCCTCAGCATCAGTTTCACTGCAATAGCAAGTAAAGCAAGCCATCACTGTAGTTTAGTGGTTTTATCACTAAGACATCCAGAAGATGTCTAAAAGGCACTACATAATGATTTGAAGTACAACAGTGCTTAGAGACCTAAACTGAGGTCCCAGCCTCATAGATATAAGCCAGCGTTATTAATGAAGATGTTTCTTCCCCCCACCCTGTTTCTGGGGCATTATATTTTGTGTGTTATCCCCATTGTTCAAGTGGGCTTCCCACTATGCCCAGTTAGGTCAAGTTGGACACACACAGTGGAAAAGAGAAAAAAACATATGTGACTAACACTAGTTGGGCAATGCTTATATTCCCACCAATGAAAGGAAAAGTCATCTTTAAAAAGTTATACAAAAAAAATATTTTTTTCTCTCTTGCTTTTGGTAACAAACATTTTCGGACCAATTTCTGAATTTTGATTCTTCTATGGAAAAGCAAAACACTAAACATTTCATGTGGAATTTCTGTTTTCATGGGGGTGGGGAGGGAGAGAAGAGTTTTGTCAGAGCTTTGAGAAACTCTATGACTTTTGCAAGAGGAAGGATTTGGAGGTTGTCTGGGATTTCTCTGCCCTTGCAAGCTTACTGATATTACATACTATGCTCCAAGGTGAGGGAACTCCTGTAGGGAGCTCTGCATGGATGCAGGATTGGTGGGAGTGGGTGGGGAACCTACCTCAATACAGGATCAGGGTCTGAGCATGCTTGTTTCCTTCCTATTCTAGTTCTGCACAGGCAACAATGTCACTGATGACTATGACTTCAACACCACGGTTGACTACAAAAATTATGAGATTATGTGCGAGAAGGCTGAGGTCCGGAGCTTCCGTGCTGCCTTCCTCCCAGTCATGTACTCCATCATCTGCTTCACAGGCCTGCTGGGGAATGGGCTGGTAATGCTGACCTATGTCTATTTCAAGAGGCTCAAGACCATGACAGATGTCTACTTACTAAACCTGGCCTTGGCAGACATCCTCTTCCTCTTGACCCTCCCCTTCTGGGCCACTAGTGCAGCCAAACACTGGATTTTTGGGGAGTTTGCCTGCAAAACAGTCTACTGCATCTGCAGGATGAGCTTCTTTAGCGGGATGCTCCTGCTGCTGTCCATCAGCATTGATAGGTACTTTGCCATTGTCCAGGCTGCCTCTGCCCACCGCCTCCGCCCCCAGATGATCTTAGTCAGCAAAATCACCTGCATCCTTATCTGGATCCTGGCCTTTATCCTCTCCATCCCAGAGCTAGTCCACAGTGGCGTACAAGACTCAGAGAACTCTCTTCCTCGCTGCTCCATTGTTGCTTTTGATTTGCAACAGTTTGACACCGGCATCAAAGTGTCCCAGATGGTCTTTGGCTTCCTGGTGCCTCTGGTGGTCATGTCCTTCTGTTACTTCGTCATCATCAAGACTTTACTCCAGGCCCGGAACTTTGAGAAGAATAAAGCCATCAAGGTCATCATTGCTGTGGTGATAGTGTTCGTTGTCTTCCAGCTGCCCTACAATGGTGTTATGCTGGCCAAGACCATCTCGTCCTTCAACCACACAGACAGCATGTGCGAGAAGAGCAAGCAGCTCGATGTGGCAGATGATGTAACCTACACCTTGGCTTGCTTCCGCTGTTGCCTCAACCCTTTCCTCTATGCTTTCATCGGTGTCAAGTTCCGCAATGACCTCTTCAGGCTTCTCAAGGAGCTGGGCTGCCTAAGCCAAGAGAGGCTCTGGCAGCTGTCAACCTGCAGGGAAAACAAGAGGTTCTCCATCGCCATGGAGACAGAAACAACCACCACTTTCTCACCATGAGGTGCATTCTGCTCCCACTTGGACTGGGCTAAACCTGATGTTTTCCTATCAAATGGAGCCATCATGAACTACTGACTAAGCAGAACCAGCCTCTGGCTTGCCCAGATAACTGTACAAACTTCCCCAAATTTCTGGATATCAGCACTGGTGAAAAATGAGCAGAGACTTTTATAATGGACAATTAAGCTGGACAGCAATAAGACTTGGCTGTAATATGTCTTATAACAATAAGACTCCATTTTCCTTCTACTCTACTCTACCATTTTCTCATTACAAAAACTTGAAAAAAACATAATCCTGAAAAAAACCACCACAAACACTTGAGCAAATGAAGTTCTTGTGTTAGAGCTGAGCTCCCAGGAATACTCCCTTACTTCAAATGCTAAATTGAATCAGACTGACTTTTGCCAAATAATGGCACCACAAGCTTCATCAAGATATGTTTTGAGCACAATTACATGATAAGCTATATCTAGCATGCAACTCTCAACTCTGTTTCCCCACCCCCTTTCCCATTCTTATCGAAGTATTATGTATAATTTACACACACACACATTTTTTTTAAATATACAAAGTATGGTAACGACCCATTCAACTGAAAAAAAGCTAAAGTAAGGTCATTGGGAAAACAACTTCCAAATCACTCCTGCTTGTGGCAAGATACTGGGATCCCATTTAGGAGGGCCCATATAATCTGTAGGGCTTGAGCATTTTAGAGACAGTCACCTCTCTTTAGAAGTGAATTAGAGAGGTCTTCATTTGGGGTAGTTTAATTCCAAATAAGAGCATCCACACAGGGTTTAGTGTGTTTTAACCAACGCAGATTAAAATGTCCTGACTATCCCCGGGTAGGCAAGCTGCTGGTGTTCTAAACTGCAAACTGTGAATCCCTGGGGCTGGGTCCTCTAAGGTGCAAAATACTTTGTCATCAATCCAACAAGACACTTAGTAGACTTGAATTTTAAGCACCCCAGTAGTCCCAATGCTGCTCCACCCACTGCAGTGAAAGTGGCCCCTGGTTCTTCACATGCTTGACATTAAAGTACATGTTTAAGTGCATTGCTGGATGGGGGCCAGAATGCTCGGCACATTGTGGGAAAGAACCCAGGATGCATGCATCCTGATTTCAAGTCTGAAGTTTGCTCTGACCTTGGTCTGAGAGCTCAGGTTTGCCAATCTTTGGAGCCTACTTAACTATAGCTTCTTGGGCTTTTCATAACAAGGTATAAGTATGCTTCTGAAGAAAATCTATGAATTGTCACTGTAGCTTGCTGCCTTTGGTTCAAATGATGAATGCATGGATGAGAGTTCTGCCTTCCCTGCCTTATCCCCACCTCTCTCTAAAAAATGCTATAAAGAGGTGCCTTTTCATGAATCCAGGATAAAACCAAGCATTTTACTTTTAGGCTACTGAAAATGTATTTTATATTCCTAATGTCTGAGCTAAAAAGATGCTTGTCACTGCAGTTTGATTTAACTGTGAAAAAGCATCATGTGCTGAAGATCACTGCCAGGGCCACACACTTGAAAAAAACAAAACAAAAACATGGCAGCTGAACAACAGATTATTGTCATGTAAAATAAGACACTGAAAAGAAGCCCAGAATGTAATGTCAGTCGGTTCATTTACTGAAAGAATGAAGGACTCCTACTTATGGATGAATGTCCTGGGAATTTGCAGTCATGGGACAGCTGACTGTCAATTGGATAGGAGTTGCTGTATTTCATTTTGCATCTGTTCTGACTAGAGTACTGTCATCACTAAACCATACAGCTCTCCCTTGAGGCAGACAGCAAGGGCAAAAGGTCCCAGTACTGCATCTCTATTGGCAGTGTTCACCTTATTACAGCAAGTGACACAGAAGGATGGTGTTCCTAACCCCAACCTCTAGCCACATTAGAAGCAAATTCTACCCTCCATGGAAAGAATCCCAACAGCCTAGCTGGCTATTATTGTACCAATGCTGCCAGCTACATAATTGGCCACATATCCACACCCACAGGCACACAAAGCAAACACCACCACTTTCTTGAAAGCATTTGATCTGAGGTCAGGGCATACCAAATGATACATCTAGTCTGTCTTTGAAAAGAAAATGTGTTCTGCTCTCAATCATTTGTGTATTTAGAATGATAGTCCCATCAGACCATTTATAATGTGTCCTTTCTTGAAGCCCATGTCACTGCATAACAAGTGCTGCTTCCTAATTAGTCTTAGAAGATGGGAATGATAAAATGACACACTAGAATATTCATTCCCTTTAAGTTTGATCCTACACTCATTATTCAGACAAGATACCCCTGGACTCCCAGTAAGAATTCTGTCAAAGCATATCATGCAAGCTCCTTTTATTTTGCTGCATCAAGACAAAATACTTAAATAGTGTATACTTATATAGTGTAGCTGTGCGAAGTTACTATATGTAGAAAAAGAGTGCACATTAATTTACATTGATGATATATTGCTGTAAATTAAGCTTTTCATGCTAAGCATTTATTTTCATAAGGAGACATATTTTGTCAAAAAAGTATTTTTAATTTTATCCAGTTTTATCATAGAACCCCCTTTCCCCTCTTTCACAATACACTTCTCAATTTTAGAGCATCGCTGCCTAACTTCATTATTAATAGGAATATCAGGAGCATGCTGGGTAAAGTTACACACCAATTTCAGAGATACCCACTAATTGAATACTAAGACACTTGGGCCATGCTATTTTGAAATTTGGGATCTTAAGTTAGGATGAAGTACTATTTAAGCATTGAGAGAGGAGGAATCCAGACACTTATCCAAGAGTGTTGAGCACTTGACTTCTCTCAGATTGTGAACAACTCCAAGGTGCCTGGTTCTTTTGAAAAGCATATAAAAAGGACAAGAATAGAGCACTTAAACTGGTGGTTTTCACTCAGGAACCTAATTTGGAGTCTCCCCAAAACTTAGAATGTGCAGATGTGCTGGCCAGTCATGAAAAACAACCAATTAAAATACCTTGTTTTTCCCCCCACTGGCATTTTCTCCAAGACAGGGAGGTTGTACTGTTCCTAATGGTTAAATATGAATTCTTCTAGACCTATTAAGAGCTCCCTGTTGGTTCCTTTGCTCAAACCAACAGCAACCTGTAGGAAAATAATGTGTAATGGCCTTAATTGACATCTTATCTTTCCTTCATCTATTGGTGAAAATAGCTTTAACAAGTCACTGATATATTTAAAATAGTGGAGTTTTATCCTTATTCTAACTCAGAATCCATTTATGTCAATGCTGCTCTAATATGGGTGTGTCTGATGGTATCTTGTTTTCTGCTTTTGTGTACAAGGATTTTGTATTGGTAAAACATGTTTATGTCTAATTAAAAAAAAACAAAACAGCAACGAAACGTTTTTTCAATCACTTGATGGAAACTATTTACATAAAGAGACAACGACCACAAAGCTACTGCTAGAATTCACCTGGATTCAAAAATAAAATGTAGGAAACAGAAAAATATACCATAAAAAAAAATCAGACCAGTTGTGTATCTCGTCCAGTCTCCATCTCAGACAGAGTCCAGTACCAGATAACCTGCACCTAGGGGAAAAAAAAAACTTTTCCAAATCTCGATGATTGATTCATGCCCTGAAGCACAAGGGTCAATATCCTTTATAAAATTGCCTTCTGTAACTTGCAATTTTCATCCTGCAATACTTTAACCCTTCACTATAGTAGCATTGTGGTGCAAACATCACAATGGATACATAAAAAAATGAAAGTATGCCACTGTAACATGGAAGTGGCCAAGCACTACTAACACAACACACCAAAAGCAAATGATGAGGCAAAGGATTCTCTGTCCAGCAACATTTATTGTTTTACTACTGAAAATAGAAACATTTTAAAAGATTAACCACATCTTATAAAATATTCAGTTACTTATAGCTCAGTACAAAGATCCCACCAACAGTTAAAAAAAAAGCACAAACAAACCACAACAAATGGTTATGAACAAAGCCAAACCAGCTTAAATATTTTTAAATAACAGAAAAGAAACATTTTTGCTTTGAACAGTGATAAAATTTAAGCTGTGAATTAAGACGCTTCCTTTGTTGGAGAAGTCACAACATCAGTAACAGAACAACACTCAAGATTTTGCCACATGCTGTACACTTGCAAAGGCCAGACTGGATTCTGATCCCAGGTGTTCAGAGAACACATTATCAGAGCATCCCTAGAACCTGCCAGCATAGATACAAGCAGGCAAATGCATCATTTTTCAAGATGTCCTGTGGCGCACACAACATCCAGATCTGCTCCATCTGTATGTGCCCCTGTCAGCCTAACACAAAGCATGTTCTTCCCAAACACCACAGAGACAAATGCAGCTTCCAGGACCTCCTCTAAAATATGAACTGTGTCAGAAAATAGGGCTGTGTGAAGCTTCAGGTGCTGATTCAATCTGGAGGAGATTTGGCCCGATTCAGCAGCTGAATCTCCGAATCCAAATCAAATCGTGAGACCGATAAAAAGCTCTGAATCAATCTGAAGCTCTCTGAATCAATTTGGAAAAGATTCAGAGAGCTTCGGAGATTCAGGCAATCCCCACTCACCGCTGCAGGGAGCTGGGCCCAGACTCTGTGCTGATAACTAGGGGGCGGGGGACGGTTTGGAGGAGGGGGGAGAGGACCATGGGGGGACACCTGCCAGACCCCATCCCCTGCCTGCTTCCCCGGCCTACCTGAGCACCCCCAATCCACTCTCCCAGCCCCATCAATGTCTGCCCCACCCGGCCCCAGCACCCCGGCTCCTTTAAAAAAAAAAAGGCCTGCACTCACCAGCTCCTGCCAGGCCCGGGGGGGCAATCCCCACTGCCCTGCACTGTGTACCCCAGCATCCGGGCTCTTTAAAACAAAAATACCCCTGCACTCACCGGTTGCTGCAGCAGCCATCAGAGCTTCTGGTAGCTTATGGCAGAGCCCCCAAGCAACATGGGGCAGTGGGGGGCAGCGGGGATCCCACCCCCCCAGCAGCAGCTGGTGAGGCTTTTTTTTTTTTTTTTTTAAAGCACCAGGATGCTGGGGCCGGGTGGGGCAGCCATTGACAGGGCTGGGAGAGTGGGCAGGGGATGGGGCCTGTTCAATTTGGAGATTCGTCGGATTCAATTCAGGACAGTGATTCGAATCACCAAATCAAATCACTGTCCCCCAAATCGGCCTAATCCAAAGTGAATACTAGCCGCTTTGCACAGGCCTACCAGAAAGTATATGTGTGGCCCATGCCAGTGAAGAGAAAATGATTCGAGGTCTGAAGAACAAGCTGCCCAAAATGCAGCTGTAGATGCAGCAAAATTCCTGACTGCAGACAAGATTTGGGTTTGCTGTCAGAGCTCTGGGCCACATGTTTGGTTTGGTCAAATACAAGAATAAAAAGCAGCTTCTAAAAGGTTCTGTTTTCAGAAAGACCCATGGTCTCCTAAACTGCCCTGGCTGCCTTCTCCGGGCAGTTAAGAATTCACACAAGGCCAAACAGAACAGAAGTATTTTCTCATGACAAAGTGCCCATGACAAAATGCTGCAAGTCCAGTCATGAGGCAGCATGAAGGAATCAAAACAGAAAAAGCCCCAAATGACAACAGAAAACATACCATGCAGTTTATGGCTTAATGCCTAAAGAATAAGGCTCATTTTTGCTTTCACAAAGCAACACAAGTCAGTAATGGAGTCTCCCTACAGCTAAAGCATCAGGCCAGTTTCAAAGCCTGCTCACAGTGTTTAATTATAAGGGACAGCAATAGGGTATATCACCACACTGTTCTAGAACACAAATCGAGGCTTTTTTAATTCACCAACTAGCTAAGCAAATGCCACTCTATTAAAATCAAGAGAGCAGCTGTTAATGGACCCCACTGAACCCAGTTAGCCTCTAGCTAAAGACAGACACCCTGCTTTAACAAGCTCCCTGATACTCAAAGGTGACTCTGATAATCTGGATCTGAAAGGCCCTAAGATTTGAGTAAGCTCAGATTGTAGTTGTAAAACTTGATGAGCCCACAACTCTTAACAACAATCCCAGGTTATAGCTTCAAAAGATGCTTTCTATACCCCACTTCTTCAGGAAAAAAGAAAACAAGGTCCAGGATGGATTTAGCCCATTTTAGAACCTTCCACACAGCTACATTCTCTTTCAGAGCACATGGTCATCTCACTGTTTAGTGGAGCCTGGAACAGTTCATGCTGCTAGTGGGACTGCTACCTAACTACCACTCCACCACAGTTTACTGGTGCCTTTCCTATCAATAGGCAGCTCTGACAAGTCACCTGGTGTCAGCACAGAGAAGCAAAAGAAGACAACTGTCTATCTCATGTGCATGCAGTTCATGTGCCTTTAATTTCCCCTCTCCCCATTAGTGTTTGATATCAAGCCCTTCCACAAAATCATCCTACTGCTTAAGATATACAAATCCTCTAACTCCCATTGCATGGAGACCCCTGAAGTCAACCTGTTCCATTTAAAAAGCAAGAGGGTTGACTCCGTATTTATACACAACCATCTAAATTCCAAATAGCGATTCCAAGCTGCACCAATAACTTAAGATAAACCCTTAATTGCAATGAAGTGTTGGGATCCACGTCTAACGCCCCAGGAACACACAAACTGTTTTAGCTTACCAGTGCCCCTTCCTCCTAAAACTGTGTTTAAAAGCACACAAATATTTTTCAAAATATATATTTTAAAAGCTCTAAACAGCAACCAAATGTCAGGGTGAGAGGCTGGGGTGGAATGAAAATAAAGGCAAATCAAGCATCACTAAATACAAGGGATGTTGTCTAGCTCTTGTCTAGCTCCAACACAAGGTGTGGCCTGGCTCCCCATCCCCTTTTCAGTCCCAGATGCTGCTTCCAGATGGGTCATTTGCGGGGCTGGTGAATATGCTGATTGATGTGATGGTGAGGGGGTAGCTTTTCCACGCAAGGCTGTGGTTTCTGATGTGCCACCTGGGCCGCTGCTGGAGGGAAGTCTTTGTCACCCTAAAAAGAAGCAGCTGGATTTAAACAAGGCAGTCAAACCTCCAATAAATAATGTATGTGGTGGGGGCGGAATACATTTACATGCAACCTACTACAGCTATTCTGGCTACTACAAAGATTCCCTCCTTTTTCAACTTTTCCTTTTTCACAAAAGCCTTTTTCAGCATGTGGAATGGTGGTGACAGATTTTTGGGGGAGATGAGAGAATGGCACCGTCCTCTCATGGCATAATACATATTTTCCACAGTTTGTCAGCCAGATAGCCCTACAGAGCTGTAAATCTCCCTAAAGCAAATTTTCATCCTTTTCCACACTAGAATCCCTTCCCATCTAGAATGTGGGAAAGACAGGGTGACAAGTCTTATTTACACATCCTCCTGGCTTCTACCTTGGCATACAATGCCCCGTGTTTATACCCCATGCTCCAACCCATGTAGGACAAAACTAAATGAAAGGCTCTTGAAAAAAAAGATCTCTCTGGTTCTTCCTAAAAGAGACAAGCTTGTGGAGGAAAACAGATAGCAAAAAAAAATCCAGTAAAAAGATTAGTTGCATTAATAGCAACACACTACATTTGGTACTAAGCAATAAGATACATTGCCAGACAGTCTTACCCTTGTTATGGCTCCTGATATAATCAGAGTTTGCTTGGGGGGGCTGAAAGAGAACAGAATACACACTTAAATACAAAGAACTATCTTTTATGTAGAAAGTGAGCAACCTTAAAAGCAAAATTACAATTTATTTCTAAAGAAACCTTTCAAAATTTGTAGTTCACACTTAGGTTCTTCTGCATTTGCCCTAAAAAGGTTAGAACAAGGAAGACGGAGGAAGATACATAGTAGAAGTTTGCAGCTTAAAGGCAGAAAATCACTGGACAGTTCATCATTCACCACCTGTTCATCTCCTGCTTGGAATATCCTTTCACTGAGCCTGAGTTCTTGCTCTTTGGTGTGTTTCACTGGAAGTACTAAAATGGAAATAGCAAACTGGAAGTGCTAAGTGAAGCCAGATGCATGGGATGCTGCTCAGCTGGCTTCAATTTCAATTTCCTAAGCCTGTTTAAGAGGTGCAAATACAAAGAGAGGCAGTGTGCTGCAGTGGGCAGGGCACTAGACTGGAACTCAAGTGATCTAGAAGCCACTTCCAGTCCTACTACTGGGCTACTCTATGACCTTGGGCAAGTCACTTAACTTTTCTATACTTCTATTCCCTTCCTCCTCCATGTGGAAAATGAAACAGGAATGACATTTCACAGAAGATACAAGCTTAGACAAGCACAGAAGAGAAAGCTAAATATTATTGCAACTATATATGGGAGACTTTTCCTTTGATTATTAAAAAAGAAAAAGCTTATATAACAAATCTGGCTTTGTTTGGAGACTTTGAGATCACTGCCATATACAAAGACAATTCTGAATGACAGTATACACATTTTAAAAGCATGGCTAGAAGTTACCTCTTCAACTATCCACCAAGAATTTATGTTAAGGGTCATATTCTCATGCAAGAGCTGAAGTTCTCATTAACACCTACGACAAAATAGGTGGCTGCTATTTCAACGGTTGTTATAAAAATCTCAGGTCTTAGCAAGAAAAGAAACTTTCAGTTCACTTTTACCACATGCAAGGAAAACACAAAAGAAAAGCTAAAGCAGGACCTTGTGTATGGTATTTACCATTCTATAAAAAATTTAAATCTGTAGATTAAGGGAACTGAAACTTGAACTTCTCTTTGTTTTTGCTTCAATTGTCTAAAATAAGACATCAGTTGGCTATTTATTTTCCCTTCTTGGTGCAACCTGTTCATCAACAAAGTCCTAATTTTGTTCAGCACACAGAGCTGGGTGGCTAAATAACACTGCTCTACCATTTCTCCACATGAAAATGTCAAGGCTAGGCATGCATTTTCCGCTACAGGGAGGAAAAGTCCTAAGCCACTACACATGCAGCCCAGTCAGATGAGCTGTTAGGTAACTAATGAAAGGTTTGGACACTTCAATCTTATTTGAAATTATGAATTTTTCCTGTATATTGAAGTTCTTTCTTTTCTTTTACTAAATCCCTGATCCAAAGCCTTGTGATGGCAATGGGAATGTTACTGACAAGGGTGTCATTGACTTAAGTGGACTGGGTATCCAAATAACTATTTATTACTCATATTACACATGGGAAAGCAGAAAAAATTCCAGGAGATCCCCATAGTCAGTCTTAAGAACTAATGCTAGAATTCCCAGTTGCTCTACCTAAAATATGAGCAGCAGGTTTTCCATAACTGAGTTTCAATACTCCTCCTTTCAGATTCCTCTGCAAAATACTGTTTCTACACCATTACAGTCATGTTCTAGACTAGGGGTTCCCAAACTATGGTACACTTACTCCTGGGAGTATGCAAGACATCTCTGGGGGGTACGCAGGAGAAACTGTGTAAAGATGGATTTAATTTTAATTGTAATAATAATCAACATTTAAGGGGTTAAATATAAACCATATGCTGCTAGGGATACATGAACAGCTGGTAAATCTGGAATGGGGGTACACAATAAGAAAAAGTTTGGGAACCTCTGTCCTAGAAGATCCTACCCATCTCATGCGAAAAATCTGAAGAGGGGGATGTTCTTCAGAAATGCAACACTCAAAATATTTTAATCAGAGACCTGTGTTAGCCCTAACCAAAACAAGTAGTATTGTGAAAGTGAGAGGAGATAAAAAGGCACAACTGATAACCTCCAACTTATATACCATTTTTTGTGAAGGTAAAGCTTTCAGAAGTGTCAGAGTGACTCATAAGTCCCACTTTTGAAGGCAAATGCAGCATCCAAAAATCAAAGGCTTACTCTGTCAAGAGACGTTAGTATTTTTGGGTGATTTGATTTCCAAGCAGCTACTTAGGAGCAAGCTAAGGTGGCCCATTTTTCAGACAAAACTGGCCACCCACCTTCTAGAAACCAGAGGTGTCAGGATGGGTAACCCAAAAGTCAGGCTACTCAGAAAAACCCACCATTTTGTTTCTAAACCTTGGCCTAAGGCCAACAGAAGTATAGTTTTAACCCTTGAAAAAAATGGAACTTGGCCACTTCTGAAAATTTTATCCAGATGGATTGCCTTTTGACTATTCCAGTACCCTGAAACACATTACCCATGAGGAATCCAACTGCTCAGCCTCACTGGGAATCCCCATAAAAGAGTCCACTGATATAGGAAGAAACAGACTAGCAAACACTACAGTGATCCCAGGACATTGTTTCAGACCATTTTATCAAAACACCTCATTCCAATGATTGGGCAGGTGGGAACACTCCTTCTGCCTGTGTCTGGACCAAAACAACCCATTTTAAATGGCGGCTGACTGTAACATGCTACTACTTTCTCACATTTATGTAACAAGTGCAGCCAGAATGCAGAATCTTGCAACTTCCCTAGCTCCCCCTCTCCGTACCTGCCACTTTGCATCTTGTCTACAGTCTAGAATAAGGCTCATTTTATAAAGAAGGGAATCACCCCCTCAGTTATATTTGTATAGTGTTTGCATACCACCCAGTGCAACAGGGTTCAGAAGCCAGGTGCTATCGTAGCACAAGCGCACCCCATGCTGAAGTCATCTGCCAGGGAGCAAGGAACTGGTGGTTTGTGGGAGAGTCTGTTGACTCTAACAGAAACACCACATTATTTTCTGCAGACAAGGTTCCTTGCGTGAACCCTTCGGAGGGTTTTTGAACCCGAAAACTTGCTTAATAATTATTTTCCAACTATCTGGGTTGGTCTAATAAAATATATCAGATTCACGCAAGGAACTTTGTCTGCCTATGTCCTTAGACCAACACACCTACAACCTACACCCCTGTAACATTATTTTCTAGCTTTTGGTCATGCCAAAGAAGAGAAGAATCTCTACTGTGACATATGGGTGATGGGGAGGAGGGAAAGATGAGGACTAGGAAAAAAAGAGTCTCTCTCTCTGGATGACTAAAACAAAGACTTTAACAACAGCTGAAAACAAGTACTGACTGCTGCAGCACAGTTCTGCTCTTCTGCCATGAGAAATGCGAGAGTCCTTTGAAGAGGTTATTGCGCTTCGCTAGACTGAGTGCTCCTCAGAGATATAACATTCTCAGAGATGCCTTGAGTATCTAGAAACGCCTACACTCATACCCCATAACCCTAAACCACAGGTAGGAGAGATTTGGTCTTACAAAATAGCACTGCACTAGCTAACAGATTTCACAGCCTCTTTAAAAAGGACTGTAAGGGTGCTGGCAAACAATCAGATAACTGTGAATTCTGTACCACTTATTTAGCTCCAGGTGCTTCTGATGCATATCTGACCACACCTGGAAGTGAGCCCCACTGCTTGTAGAAACCAGAGGTCTGTAGGCTTAAAAAATTATTTATTTAAAGACTGGAGATCATTTGAAAGTGCATAAATAGCAAGCAATATAAAAAAGACGTCAAAAGCAGGCCCTAGTTTAGCATCTCATTTCAGGCTATTATGCAGGCTGCAGTGATCACATATGGACCTGTTGCACTCATCTGCCAGGCAGGCAAGCAGAAGATGGCAAACCAACCTCACAAACAGATGCATCTATCCCATTATATCTGGTTACTACCAAGCCATTCCCACTAGGCCTAGTCTCACAGCCATCGTCTTTGTGGCCAAGGAAGATGTGAAGCTGCATCTTTCAAGACTCAAGTTTAAGAAGCCTCAGCTGGGCATGGGACTGCTGTTAACCCACATCTGCTCTTTTCCCCAGCAGAGGCTGGGACTGTCTGAACATGCCAACTCCAGGGAGTTCCATATCAGAAGCTGGGAAGTTTACGTGCGCTGCTCCCCTACCTCCCATACCCTTGTGTCCCTTCAACTTCTCTGCATTCTACCACTCCAGAAACTGACCTCTGGTATATTAACATCTTATGGCTTTTGCTTCTTCTCTCCAGAGGACTGACTTTGCAGGGAGTCCCGTCAGCAGCAGTCACAGCTGTAGCCAGCAGCAGCGGTGCTCCCTCACAGGCAATCAAGGATGATCACTCCCACAGGTCAAGTAAAGGGTTGTAGATGAGTCCGTTGATGGCCGATCCTAGAGTCACGGAACCTCTGGCAAACACCACAGGTGGTGGTTAAAGGGAGGATCCGACCACAGATTTCTTGTTTCCTTTCTTCTGTTTCTATTGTTTTTCTGCCTCCAGGGTGAGACAACTTTCCTCCAAGATGTGCCTTCTCTCACAAGAAGGCATCACCATGTAGCCCTATCCTGAGCTAGTTTTTCCCAATTTGTGGTGTCAATGCCATACTTAATGTCTGCCTTGAAGCGTTCCCTCTGGCACCGGTGTGTCCCTTGTCCTTGGCTGAGTTGGAAGTACAGCAATTGCTTTGGCATACATACATCAGTCATGCGCACACAATGCACACGCAATGTCCACTGCAACTGATGTTGAATAACCAATGCTTCCATACTGGTGGTGTTAACGCTGGTGAGGACACTGACATTTGTGTGATGATCCTCCCACTTTATGCCAAGAATCTTCTGGAGGTAGCACTGGTGATGGTGTTTCAGGCTTTTCAGGTGATCCCTGTAGGTCACCCAAGCTTCACAGCCATATAGAAGAGTTGGGATTACCACAGCCTTATATAAATAGGAACTTTGTTCGAGTCCTGATGTC